CGCCCAGGCCCAGAGTTCAGGCCCCATGACCGGAACCAAAAAAAAAAAAAAAAAATGGCTCCAGACAAATTCAGGACGAAACTAAAAATAAAAACCACACTAACAGCAGAACTCGAATTTATTGAACACTTCATAGGTGCCTGGTATTGGGTGAATGATTTTTACATCATCTAATTTGCATTTGGCAGCTACTATGAAATAGATTCAATTATTGTCTCAGTTTTGCAGAGAAAACAGTTGAGGTTTGTAAGGGTCCAAAACCAGCCCTTCCTGCTTCAAAAACATTTGTTCACAGCCACTAAACATAATAAAACAGGAAAGACCTAGATGCCTAGTTGCTTAAACATTCCTCCTAGCTCCCAACACTCCCACATCTTCAGAACTCTTTAGTGTCCAGAAACACCCTCTTGCTCTAGAGCCCACAGGATCTGTGGATCACAATCACCCTTTTCTAGGGATTCAAGCATCCTTTTCCCTGTGCCCATCCACATATACCCAAGGCTTCATGGGCCTCGGGATTCAATCCCCACAGCCCAATTCAGCACAAGTGGTTTCATTGAAGCTCCACATCGCCACTCTGGCGATGAGTCAGAGGACAGAAAGAAGGGACCACCCCTCTCCGAAGCCCAAGGGGTCCGGATGAGTACTTCATCCCGGATGCACATCGAGTAATGTTGGCACACAATAAGAAGCAGCCTGCGACTGCATTCAACAACAGGCTTGATCAGGGGTTCAAACACTTTCCAGGGGTCGCAGCCCCCAGCTCAGCAGCAGGCCCCCTCCCATCGGACTTCGAAGCGCTCCGGGCAGGTTACTGCTCGAAAACTTGCTGAGAAAAAGGCGGGCAAAATTTCCTTTTGATAAGTTATGAATGGGAAGAAAGTGTTTGTGGAACTCATTGTTAAAACCACGGGAGCCCGAGCCTCGGGAGGCGCCAAGCCAATCCAAACCCAAGCCAATCCAAACCCGGAGGCTATTTTAAAATCTCTCGGGTAACAGCCAATAAACTGTGGGGGAGGCGCAGCCCCGCACCGGCGCAGGCCAATGAGCGTGGCGCTATGCTAAGGACCTGTGGGTCCAGCCTCTCCGACTGTCAGCGGGTTAAAGATGGAGCCGGCGGGCAAGAGAGCGCCACGAGGTGCGGGGTCGTCTGGGTGGGCCCGGGGCGGACTACAATTGGAGGACTTGC